AGAGTTCTGGGAAAACGCCTGCTAAGCTGTTTATATAAACAGTAAAACACTAGAATTAATTGCGACAACTTTAGCGAGATTATCGAATAGCAGTTAGGGATTCGCCTGGAAATAATAACAAGAGACCACACAGCAGTGTAGCTTAATTTGAACTTAAAATCTAGCAGCAGCAGCAGCAGCAGCTAGGCAATTCTAATACCAGGAATTCAGACTAAGGCTCTAGAAATGTCTTCATTTGATCGTTGACAATTTGCTCATAATCAAACCCAGTGCACATGTCAAATTCTGGGCATATTCAGCACGTTAGACAAATTACTGTTACTTTATGTACCACGGAACAAAGACGGTTCTTAGTAAAACAAATACAACACTTGCCTAGGCTGTAAGAACTCGAGCCAATTGAAGCACACATGAAGCGGCCCTGACAGTTCTTTGTCGATCCAAGATAAACGAATTTAAAATTCTGTACACAACAACAAATGCGTTGCGTTTTGCTACCGTTTGCCAACATGGTTTCTCTGTACTGATGTCAACATGCTATAATTCTCCAATCTACTGGTAACGTATTTCTTACAGAACTAGTAAAGAACTTAAGAGTACCATCTGATCAGCTGTTGTCCTCATGACCTGCATGTGCGATACAATTAATCAGAAATTAAGAATTTAAAAAAAACTACACTACAAAGGCTACTTGCTACAACATAAAATTATGTCTTAAAAGAAATGTTACTAGACTTAAAATCGACGTTTCATAAACTAGTTGGAATAAACTTGAAGACTGAACACTTTTGTGCTTACTCGAGGCTGTGACAATTGAAAATGCGACGTTAAATTGTTCGGACGCTATAGAAAATATACCGCTGCATGTCTCTGTGGTGATTGAAGACGCAGTCCATTAATGTGTCCACCACAATGAAAAACTGCGCTTGTTGTCACAAGTCTAACAGCTGTATCATTATGATTTCTCACAAGGCGACCTGTGCGTGGTTCCCGCTTGTTATACTTGAGCTACAGCAGCAGAGGCGAGTGACCCTGAACTATATTTGTGATTGTGACTCGTATTCCGCACCATCGTCGCTCCAGTAGGCCCTGTTATTGGAACGGCCGCCTCGGCGAAATTGCGTTGTAGATTCATCACGTGAACGCCACGTGTGTCGCGAGGAAGCCGTAGAGGAACGGTACCCACTGGAGGCCTGGAAACAAGAGTACAGTCAGGATTGCTTTCACGAAAACATGCAAAATTACCTTACCGCTTTACTTATGGTGCTAGCTGAAAGAAATTTTGTCAGTTACTCGTGCATTGTTGAAGACTTCTCGTACGTTGTGTCTGATCAATTATTCAACTTAAGTGAAGAACAGATTCTGATCAGTAATAAATTATAGCCTCTGGCTAAAGTAAAGGAGATTCTAGCTAGCTAAGTGATAGCAGGACATGGTTTTCAAGACATCATTATATCAACCACGCTAAAATGACGTGTTATTTTCCGCCAAAATTGCAGTCAAGTCAGCCATGTTACACTTGCAATCAGGTGAAAGTAAGTGTCGGCTTTACATCATCCGAGGCCAGAGTGAAAACAACAACACAGGGAAAGACAGCACAACAATGATTGCCGAGTCACAATGGACTGAAAACGACAACAAAGTGCCTTCTCCCAGCATCAGCTCTTGAATCACTGGCTACAATTGGTTACAACTGTTTATTTTTTCCTTCTCTTTTTTTTAAATACAAAATAAAAAGACAAAAGGTGCAACACAACACAAGGAAGGGTAAACATGTTAACTTTTAAGTGCTGATTGTCTAAGTGCGCATTTATTTATCTTCACAGTGCATTTTAAGTTTACAATAGCTTATTTAATTTATTTGCAGTGCAACAAGCGACAAGTGTCATGCACAAATTCCTTATTTACCGAGTACATTAAAAACTCCCTACGCCTGTTAGCTTCTCTCTCAAACGTTCTACAAATCGTCACACAACTGTTCTCACATCCAGCCAATAAGTGAGAAACGCTCTGTAACAATCCACCAAACGGCTGTGAATGAAACTGTCATGAAATTTTCAACAGGTGCGACAACACGACCGATGCTTTGCCGGTTCAAGTAGCAAAACTTGTCAAGTCGATGGCAAAAGTTTAACTCAGCGAAATTTGCCGTATATCTTGTTCAACATTGACTGCCCACACGATATTCCCTCATGGCCTGCACCAGCCGATAAACAGTCCTGTAGTCGCGCCTGTCTCTCCGACCAAACAGGAAGACGACACAAACGCTAGACGTTTGAGTCAAGAAGATGATTTGACTTGACCTAATCTATAGTAGGGAGTTGTAAGTTTTAAGTCTAGCTGTTTATGAGATGCACAAGAAAACCGAATGACTTACCACGTGCTATACGTCGTAGCATTCGGTGCCAATTGCGAGTTCTGGATTTGTTAGCATCTTAAGTAAAATTAAATAAGCTTCAGTTACTGGTTAGAATGTGGGGATGGAGGGAGTTACTCAACACTACCAAGGAGAAACAACTCACGCATTTGTGCGTTAGTTAATGTGTGTGTTTAAAGCTATCAATAACGTCACACACGTTTAACGTTACTTGTGTCATGTTGAGTTTATTTCAGTCTTGGTGAAGTAGTGACGTCACATCGCCGAAAATCCACACGTAACACGACTTCATATTCAAAATGAGACTCGATCCAAGACTGCAATAACGTCTTGCTTCACGCTGAAGGCGGATACTATGATGGCCTTGAATCCCTTACAGGAAGTAGTACAAATAGTCCTAATTGTTTCATGGTACTGAAACCGACATCGCACAATTTCCGGCGGTATGGAACACTTGGCCCGTTACAGCGTTTTCTCGTGCGACTGACGTGTGAAAATTGGCCAAAGACAGCGCTAACGCAGTTCTGCTGTACCCCCAGGCTCGGATTCGCTTCGTAGTGAGAGAAATGCAAACTTGTGATGTTCTCTTCAACAAATTTCCAAAGTAGCAAAGACAAATAACTTTCCCCAAATGAAACTAGAGTGGAGGTGCCAAAGCACTGAAAGTAATAACCCGTTCTGGAAGCTTGGGGTAAATTTTGAACATCTGACCTAATCATGAATAAGATATATTGTGCAACCTGGAAGTGAACGTGTATTGGTCATTTTACCAAACACTTACAATAAGCTTCGGCGAGTGTGACGTCACCTTAAACCTGACGAAGCTTATAAATTACCATCAATTTTTATCAAAAAGCAATTCTTAACTTGTTTAAATGAAAAACAAAACTTTGTAATATCTTAAACAAGAAAAAAAAACCAACAAACAATTTAAGTATAATCATAGCTAAACTTTAAGGCTCTGCAACACCTTTTAAATGTTTCTCTAGATAACAACTCGAACAGATTAAAGGCAGATACACCTTTTAGTCGCCATGGAAATGTTCATTACCATGCGCAGATAATTAAACAACAAAAATAAAACTAAAACAAGTCAATGACTACCGTGATAATAACTCATAAACAAACAACGTCTTACAACTCGACACTCAACCACCACTTAAATACACAACGAAAAGACAAACAAGACAAACATGAGAAAACCAAGTTATAGAACACAGTAGCAGCAGCAGAAACAACAACAACAACAAAAGGATGTAAATTATATATATATCCATTAGCCTACAAGAGCACATAATTGGATAACCAAATATTCAAACACTTACCAAGCTTCTGGATCGATACCCTGAAAACGATGAAGGACGCCCAACCGACTCCTGTGTACATAAGCAAACAAAAACGTCAGTAAAAGACGAAGTTCACAGCGCTTCAAGTCACAGCAAACTCTACATCCTGCACGAAACCCACTGATACACGACTGAAGGTCTCTGACAACAATGGCATACAAGGAAGGGTGAAGGGTAATTCCCCATATAGGCCTTATTCCCATGTAATCCCTGTCAGAAGGTCTAGTATAGCCATCCCGGCCTGTGACACAGAATTTACTCACGTAGACATTTTCATCCTCCGTAAATATTTCCATGCAGCGAGGTAACTTTACTCACGGCAGAACTGGGTACCATGTCTAAAAATAACTTGAGGGGAATTACCTTCAGAATAAGGCCTATATAGGGAATTAACCTCCGCACCCTTCATCCTCTCTTATAGCATGCCATCACAGTAATCCTTAATACTGCTATAAAAAGAATCTTTGGGATATATAAATATCGGAGAGTAAACAATCAATGACACGTGGATAATTAAAGGAACACTACAATGAAGAAAAAAGTGGTCTATACAGCGGTTACACAGAGAAACAATCACAATCTGCATCGTACCATATTGTCCTCAGAGGCTAAATAATCACTTGTCTCCGATAAACGAGCGTAATCTGTTCAGAAAAACAAACAGCATAAAAAGCTGACAATAACTGCTGAATTACTTTCGAGCATCCAAACCAAACTAGTTACATTATTCGTAGAAGAGAACGAGGATGAATAACTAATAAGTAATTTGAAACACAAATGACAAAGACATCATGAAAAGCTCTGAGTGAAAAGCTAAGATCTTCTTGTACCCCTATTAGTTCCATGATTAAAATAAAATTATCGTTAATAGTTACTATACGTGTGTTTGAATTTCTGTCCCGATAATTTATTGCAGTATCACTGAATAAGAGTTCATTTACGTAAAATTCTCCCTTTGATAACTTTTTAGACTGTAAATAGACATCTGATGTTCTTTCAGCCCTTAGACTCAAAGGTGTTAAAGCGCCTCTGTAAACACTTGAAAGAGCTTCAAAATTTCGATCAGTGTGGCCTGCTTTACACTAACCTGAATCTAAATCGACGGTAGAGGTCGGAGAACTGGGCCGAGGGGAATCCGAGAATGAGAAATGATCGTCATTAACAGAGAACTGGGAAGCAGGAAGTTCTCTGGTGCGGCGAGATGATGACCGTCCCTGTTTCAAGCGCTGGATTTGAGAGTTGGCGTACTGAAGGTCACATCGTAACCTAACAAACCACACAATAAAAAGCTTCAGAAAACACCCTAGAAGAAATCATTCGCTGAAACCCGTCGTTAAATTACTTGATAAGGGCATTTATAAACCAGCTCAAACTCTAAGCGTAATGATGGCGCCAGCAAAGAACATTTAAATGTCTATAATCAAACTCAGAAGCGAGTAATATCCCTTCCACTCGATAGAAAAACCGAGAATACTTTCTCTTTCGTAAGTACCACACGTTTACGTAGACCAGTCACTGGAACAATAAACAGGGAGGAAAATGGTTTAGAACTTGGTTTAGAATGTTACTTTTCTGGCGTTGTTTGACACACTTTAATTTCACCATCCAAAATAAGCTGAAATGCTTAAATGGGCAGAATGTTTTGTTGCTATTCTTTAAATAAAATTCAGGATACACTACCACTCCACCACTAGCCCCAGACCATGTATATGACGTCTGGCAATTGTGAACAAATGAAAAGGTTGACATTTACCTTTCTCTCGCCATATCTCGCTCTGTGATGACTCCCTGAAACAGAACAGAGAGGTTGAGCATTTCTTTCGTATTGGTCGTGTAATCAATATAAAAACACAAGAATTGCATTCTTTTATACTGTAGCTACAAAATTTACTTACAAGTAACGTCGTAAGCTGTTCATTCAGAACAGACGTTGACGAAACGAGTTGTTGCTGTAACAGAACAGAAACAATCTGTTAGTATCGCTACCAGCCAGCACTTCTAACGGCTTCAGAGCTCAGTAGAGCATTGACGCAACATTGTCTGGCAAGGTAATGCATTTCTATACTTTTTTCAGTACTTCACTCTCTGATAAACCTACAGATATATTAACTCTGATTCTGTAAGTGGATGCCAGAATCAACTGTTCCGAGAAATCTGAGCTCAATGTATTTAAGGCGTTTTGTGTGAAGCGGATGTAAACACTCCAAGTGTTACCATTTATAGCCCAGTTGCTTTTGAAAGCCCGGAATATCTCATTCAATATTACACCCCATGAGCTAAAAATCTCACCAAACAACAAATTTGACAAAAAAATTGAAATGCTTGAAGTGAAATAGTATCCATCAAGATACCTTTCCAACCCGCAGCCTTATGCTAATGAGGCAACAGGGGTACTTATCAGCAGATATTTCTGCGCCCGTTTCTTTTGCAAGAAAGCTCAATAACAGTTTGACGCAATAACACGCAGACGTAGACTAACCTGAGGAGAGAAGTCGCCTTGAGTTGTACCATATCCCAGCGACCCCACTCCACGAGACATGTCGTCTATGTTCGGGTTCAACACATCACTCACAGCGACTGTTAAACGATTCGCTAAAACGACAAGAAAAATGCCCATAAGTAAGAGAATGACTCAGAATCACAGCTGGGTTTGCGTCAGTCAGTGAGTAAACGTAAATACAGACTTAAGACAGAGAAAGCCCTGATCCCGACAAACTAAGAACGGGGTACTTAGTTAAGCAGAAACCATGATTGAGAAAATTCGCGTGAATAATTTAATTGGGATAAACCTTCACGTAAAAGTGTCAGTTTGGGATCATGTTGCAAGGCACAAAAACATCCAACGAAAGAACTAAACCAAGTGACTGATAAGTGACTGTGAATTTCTTTAAAAAATCTTAAACTGTGCTGAAATACTAAGTTATTGAAACCTTCATAAATGCTGGGATACTTACCTTGAAGAATTGCTGCCAAAATTAAGTCTCTACAAAGCAAACAAACGTTTACATTAGAATATAACACAAAACCTGGGCATAAAAACAATAAAATGAAACCAGAGAGTAATCATCACAGTGGTTTCTTTGCTATAGGTGCGTAGTAGGTACAAAATAATCATACCTAGCCTCTACTGAATCGCCGTTAACATGACTCTGAAAGTAAAGAAGACAACAAAACATTAGCGGAGAATATCAGATGACAAATAATCAACTGATAAATTCTTATCGTGTTGCATCATGCATTTCCGTTCAAGGCCATGAGCTTTTACATTTCGCTTGCACAAATTAGCATGTCTCGTGTACATCACTGAGTTTGAACAGTTGGTAAACATCATCTCTGTCATTCTGCACAGCATCGGCCAGATTATAACAAAAAAATCTCCATCTGGCCCTCTCTCAACATCAGTTCATATTACTTGAAAAGTGCGTCTGCAAAAACTTACCTCACTAGTGGAGGCTCCTACTGTCATGTTTGATCCCTACAAACACAACGTACATGATTAATTTGGCAAACTGGGCGATACACAGTTATACACAGTGATCTGTCAGTGTTCTCAGTTATCAGCATGGCTTTTGCCAAACATACAGGCAGTTACCACAAGAACGTGCTCAGGAAAGATGCTATTAATGACAGTTTTGACTGCAGCTCAATAAAATACATGCAACTGTATTTTTACCCTTAGTTCAGCAACCAGTTTTGATTTTTCATCCAGAATCTTGCGAAGGTCGTTATCCTTTGATCTCAATAACTCTACAACAAAAAAGACGTCAAACATCAACAGAAACAAATCTTCCTGTTTAACGCACATTGTTTAGTGTTAACCACGAAGTCAGTCAATATGTTAGTCAACTAACAACAAGTTCGTTTCATTGGTTTGCAGTTAACAAATAGGTTACATGTGTCTGTTCAGTATTAGTATAAATCTATTAGCATTCTATCACGAATACTGCTCTCCGATTGGCTACACTACTCATTATCTATTCTGTGATAGATAGTGAGTAGCGTAGCAGTGTGCGCTTGTTAACAAAATGACGGCCGCTTCTTGGCGTTTTCGAAGTGTCTGTGAAGAGGATTTAGAATAAGTTTTATTTCTATGCGTAATAGTTGACGAGGGCGCAGCCCTCGTCAACTATCACGCGATAGAAATCTCGAGCTCATAATCTAATTGTTTAATAGATCACAGATGACGTCAAAATGTGGTAAGAACGAAAAAGTGGCCACGAGGTGATAGCCGAGTTTGTCACGATGTTCTTACCAAATTGTGTCGTCTTCTGTAACCTATTACTGAATAGACGCACGGCAACATGGAATGTATCTGTTAAAAATTTCACGATCGCTGTTCATTTCGTCTTGTAAGTCTGTCCTTGTTCTTCTTCAGACAACTGACTGTGTACATACCAAGTAGCGTGACTGATGAGCGAGATGAATGGCCACTCAAAGCGTCATCTTGTTCATCTGCGGACATGTGTACATAGCTTCCTCTCATCTTTAATGTGTCATTAGATGAACTTGACGATGATTCGGATGTCATGCTGTTCCGGTTACGCTCGAACGAAGGAGATCTCTCGTCCACACTCTCCTCATTGGTTAGCTCGGCCAGAGCTGCTCTGTTCAGAGGTGAAGAGCCTGGGGCTTCACTGTCCTCTGCTGACAGAACCTGTAACAAAGAGAAAATCACATAAATAAATATAACGTCCAGCATACCGTGATTAGGTCTTCGTTGTTTTCCAGTCTTAAAAACTCGTTTTCGATTCAGAATTACTGTTTACCAATATCAGGTGTATGAAAACAGAGAGTAAAAGACTTGCTTTTTGGAGGTTACATAACACAGAGGAATCAAACTCCACGGTTTGACAATACGGNTAAATCAATTTTTTACCAAATATTGCTTGCAAGATGTATTATGAGCGATATAAAACGATTTTGGGGAAAATTATGCATTGGCTTTAGTTTCTATCTGCTAATTCTGCATTGATCCAGTAGCTTTGTGTGCAAAACACTTTGATGGTATTCTGATGAATCACTGTATTCCTTATCAGCCAAAAACATGCCATGTTTTTTACGGTCCACACTTGTGCCAGTTACATGTGCGAGCGTTCTGATCGGCTGAGGCTTCAACGGTCACTTTGACCGCCACCCAGTTTAAACTGTTAGTATTACAGACTACTCACTTTTTTCGATCCATGACAGTTGCTGTCACTAATTCATAAATCTGAGGTCCTACTGAAGATGAAGTGCTCACAAGGAAAAACGCTCTCTTGTCTAATGAGTCAAAACAATTCAACAATTACAATATCATAGGAGCTCAGTCACGGTATTTTGGCCACGTACAGAATTGCCTTTAAATTGAAAGGAAACCTTAAAATAGCAGTTTACTAAGATAGAAAAACACCAAATATAATAATAAACCATACAGAAAGAAGGATGGTTAAGGATGGAGAAGATTGACATGGATTACAAACGACGAACTTGTGGTTCACATTTTCGAAACATCTTGTTAAGTGAAAATCACTCTTCAAGTTTCAACAAAAAGTGCAGTGATGTATGTGGTCCGTCCAAAGAACCGATAAATGATACAAATAACCCACCTGTTGCTACATTTCTTGTGAGAACACTACTCAATTTAATTATCGGACTGTGCGTGGTCTGTAAAGTAAATCAAGTAGCAATAAACAACAATCAGCTAGTCCCAAGGTAAGCATGTACAATTACTCCCTTGAGCGAAAGCTACACAAGCAGCATTTCGATTGCTGAAGTGCACCTTTTTCTACATTAACAACGTTGGTCGCCAATATGTTCATGATAACAAACAGTACATACAGCATGTCTTGATGAAGCAAAACCATAGTTAAATAACTTAAAATACACCGTTAGAAATTCTGCAAGTCAAACAGTTTCTGCAAGTCATAGAAGTATGTACTTTATTTCCCAATAAGGATAACGAGGTCAGATTTTGTGTCTGCATATTTTCGCAACTAGAGTTCTCCTTTTGGACAAAACTAACGAAGTCACACTGTTAAGCAGTGCAACAGTGTTTTTTTAATTACTACATTTTTGGAGTTGGAGACACTTATACAGTTTAATAGCTACTGCTTACTCGTCCAAGTTATTGCTTCCTAAACTGAAACTATCTCAGTGCGACAGTAAACTTGGGTCCTTAAACTTAATCACAAAAAGTTGTTACCTTGACGTCCTGATATCCCGCCGAGAAAGTTGTACTAAGACATTTAAGAACAAGCTTATCATCCTGTCTTTGAAGCAGAATTAATAAGTCTTCTAACAACAGTACATGGAGATCTGCAGAGAAGAAAATCCCCTATAAGCTATGCTTAAACAGTTTTGTACCACGCTCAACATCAACACAAAACTTAACCTTGTTACGTTCAGTTCAGAGAAAAAAGAAAACTATTTTTTGTTTGGGAGAACGAAAAGTGGGATCCTCAGCGAGCTGCAGGTGACAGCTCCCACGGCATTTTTGAGCAGATCACGTTCAAGCCCTCCAAACAGGTGTATAAATGGGTACTGGCAAATGTAATGCTTGGGAAAACCCTTTGATGGAATACCATCACATCCAAGCAGGAGTAGAGGTACTCCTAGTCGCTCCCGCAAAAGAAACCGAGATAAGCTCCGGCCTAGGGGGTCTTTTTGCTTGTATGCAGACTATGCAGACCTTTCCCCAGGTTAAGGTTTATTCAGAAGTAAGTCATTTTCATCTCTCACTTTTTATAGTCTACAAGGATCAANTTAGGAGATGCAGAAATATATTTACTTACCAATAGACTTTGTTCTGCTTATTCTCCATGTGAGTGGACCATCATAAACAAGTTTCTTTGTGGTCAGATCTAGGTTCTGACAAACAAAAGCCTCAAATGAATAAAACGAAAATACAATAGCCTTTTTTATTTAAAGAGCAGTCATGTACTGATTACCCGATCAAATTTAAAGTTCACAGTGTATCAAATGAAATTTCAGCATAGAATACACAAGTTTGTTTTGCTAGAAATACACAAAAGGACAGAATTTGTCAAAAATATCTACCTGATAACCAACTACTTTGGTGGCCTACTATGGTTAATAATTATAGTATCTCAATGAAACTAATCGTTCGTATGAACTGTCTCTGTTAACTAAAAAAAAAAAAATGAAAAACAACCGCAGCGTTGATGTACCTTGAACTCTTCCATCATTTTGTTGTTAGTGTTTTCAAGAGGCCTTCTGTCTATTTTTCTCTGAAAGTCTGCGAGTCTCTACAGGAGAAAGACCACAGTGTGTCAGTTGTAATTTGCACAAAGGCACACTTTCGTTTAGTCAAACCATCCACGAAGGGGGATCTTAGAACTGTACGTGTGCCTTCCTCGGAGTTGGCTTTCTTAACACCACACCAGTCACTGGACTGAATGTGCAGCAGACATTGTGGGCTTCATTGCTTATGTACAAGTAATGTGAGTCAGATATCCAAGCCGCTTGAACATATTTTTTTACCTCGCTTTGTCAGAATTTCTGGTGTAAGGTAAGCATTTCAGTTACACACTCAGTCACAAGCAAAGGTGCAAGCCAAGCTAGATAAAGGATAGACTGGGTGGTGTTGTACTGAGCAAAGATCTACATTCATCCCTGTCTGAGCCAGACACATCTTCAGTGCTCAAAATTCAAATTCCGTCTTAGGGAGATATCCGTCTCAGAACGCGTTAGGGATACCCATCTGGCATCATGTTAACATCTTGTTAAACAGTTTATCAGGGAATACCAATGAGGTTTGCTAGCTACCATCAAGTGATTTCAGGTATTTCCCTGCTCAACAGTGAAGATAAGAACCCAGTTATTCATGGGCTGAGTTATGCCAGTCTGCGTAACACTTTTTAGTTTGAGTTATACTGAGATTATCATGGTTCTTACTTGTCGATCTTCACAATCCTTGACGCTTTGGTTCACAAAAGCAAGTAAATCCTGTAAGACAATAAAGCCAGGGATCTCATTAATTTAGGGAGTAGAGGGCTAGTTGCATGAAGCACACGGCTGACACCGCTTTGAGTGCCACAGGAACAAGACTTTCGGGGGTCTGGGGGCATTCACCCCCAGAAATGTTTGACAAGTTCCAAAAAACCTGTGTTTTCCCTAAATTACCCTTTACAATTTACAGAAAAAGTAGGCAACTCAGAAATCTAAGTAGCCGTGTTTCTTAGCTGGCCGCCGACACTTCATTAGAGCCCTGCAATAAAGCACTCTTTCTATACTACAAGGAAGAGGTTATAAAGTACTAACACGTCAAACTGAGTATTAATCCATATGTTCAAAGCTCTAATTCCACTATCGGAGACACAAATCATTAATTGTTTGCCTACTGAATGTGATGCTAAATGTATGTTAACACAATATGACCTAACTGATTACTTCCCTATGATCAAATTATACCAAAATTTACGACACTGATTAGCAATTAGCAGACCAGATTGTAACCCAAATAGGGCAGTGTATGCGTCTAACATGTTGCTGGAACTTTAAATCTGTTATTACTGTGCAGGGAAAGAAAAAATAGTAGATGAAGGGTGCCCAAGGTAACAAATCAACTTCCTCTTACCTTCGTACATTGAATTGCTCTCTCGATATTTTTGCCATCTGAATGAGAGTCTGTATTAACAAAGAGGAAATTAATAACTACAAACAAAGCTTGTGCTGATGAAATACTTTCATTTAATTATTAAGTACAGTTCTTTTCAAGGTCGCCAATGGTAGACACAGAGTCCAAATACACATGTTATTACTGTAAAGAATGCATTAGTCAACAGAACAAAGACCACGTGACTTACTGGGTGTATTTTTCTGTATTCCTTCCAGTAACAGTGGATACTTCGTTAATCTTTGATAACTGGATGAAATGATATCTTGAAGTCTCAATCTCCGACAAAGGGGATCATTTTCACAGTTCTTCATAAAAAAGAAAGAGATAATGAGCACTGACCTTACACCTTACAACAGACCCCACTATTTCCACCAAAAATCTGACAGGTGAGAAACACTTTTTTGCTAAGACCTTTTAAGCTTGTGCAAGTTCAAACCATACTTCTCAAACTTATTAATGATTCATCATGTTAAAACAAAGAAAATCATGACTGTGGCGGTGTTTGGATGTGATTGTCTGATCTTAGTTAGCATTAATTAGATTTCATTTCTCCGTTTTCTCCTTAGTTTTAGTTGAGAAGACATCAAACACACGAGACAGTGTTTGACCACATTTCCAAACACCTCGAAGCTTGTCAAAAATACTCCGCTGCGCGTCGTATTTCAACTCCCTTCTCGGTGTTTGGAAATGAGGAAAAACACGGTCTTCCGTGTTTGACATATTACTTTTATAACTAATTTTAAGCAATAGTATCATAAAGGCAAGTAAACCTCTCTCCGTCTATAAACAGGCACAGAAATGTTGTGTCGACCCTGGGGTTAATGTTTCTACAAACAGCCCTAAGAGAACCCTAAGAGAACCAACATTTGAAGCCCACAAAAACGAATCACTCACGCAACTACAGTACTGCAGTCAACGCAAAAGGATCTAATTAAATTGACTTTGACAGATTCGTCCAATCAGTCTTCTGCTGTTTAAGGCAACACTGGTGTTTCTACCAACTAATTTGAATGGACCGAAGAGAAAAACCACGTGCATTATTTGTCCAGAGACAACAAATTATACTTACATTTATAAATTGTTGAAGTTTAGGATCTTTTCTTTGCCGATTCTGGAAAAAAGGAACCCACACTCACTTATTAGTTACAACGGTTTACAAGCTGAGCGTCGAATTAATCAGGCAATTACTCGTTTTGATTTTGGTTTTACTACTATGGTTCGAGATTGGTTGAGTAGTGGGTTTGGATTTGGTTTTATGACACTCAATTGAAAATTGCTCTATTAAGTAATCAACTAATTAATCAAGTTAAAAAAAACATGCTATGTGAGCGTGCAAGTTTCATTTAATTTGGAATGCTTAAGGACGTTCGCGCGAAAATTTTCCAGTCGATAGATTTTTTTATTTTTTACTGCAGCCAAATAATGAGTTACTTGTGCCAGAAATGCACAAATAATTGAGGGTCACCAACTTCGTTTCAGAGATAAAGCGTGTGGAAAACTACCCTGATTTTGAAAAATTGGCGCACGCAATTCAGCATGGTTTACAGGAGTTTATAGTTAAAAATATCGAAGGTGAGTCAACGGAGGCAAACGATCTTGGTCATATTTTGTAGAAATGAGTCTGTTGCGTAAATAATTCCACATGTTACCAACGTTTTAACTAAACTTAACCCTTCAAGAGGCATTTGACACCGTCGCACAGATAAATGAAGAGCTAAAAAGAACGAAATTCAATGGTGCATTTTGCAAAAAATTCAAACTTCTAGACCATAGAGTTTCTTCATTTTTTCGCTAAACGTAGAAAATCGGTAGAGAAAATGATCCATCAAAAGAAAAATAGGGGTCACCGAACGTCCAAGATCGTTAAATCCAGGNCTCAGTGTAGAACAATAAACAGTCGTCGGAAACGTGACTATACTCATGGTGATATTATAAGGACTTATTGGGTGCAAACAAGGTGCTGTTACTCCTAAACGAACATGGCGACCCCTCATTTTTATTTCAAAATTAAAGTTCACATAATAGAAACAATCAATAAGCAAAGTTTGACAAAAATCTCACTGCAGGTTCGATTTCAGTGGAATGACCTTAAAGGAGCAACGTTTTTCAGGTTTTCTTCAATTTAACGGTAACTTTGCATGTGGCCAAAATAACTCAAAGTACTGTGACTGGGCACCTTTAATCATAGTGCAAAAGACAGTGCTGTGTTGAGCCACAAACATTTTGCTTCCCCATATGATTTCTTCAAGCAAAGGTCAAAGGTCAATGCGTTTCAAAACAACTCTTATTGCTTCCCAGCAATTCTGTAGACCAAACCTGGGTAAACGCGAAAAATACAGTGTGTAACACTTCTTTTTACACTTGTGTCACTTTCTCCATGATGTGTAACAAAACAGAGCATTACTTGGGCCTTGCCACTGTTAAACACTGCAGGAATCAGTGACCAAATAACAATTACGTTACAGACCTTCAGCTGCTCTAGAGCAAACTTCTGATGATTACAAAATTCTGCACAGGCATCTTTAGCCATCTCACCAGGTTCTCCATCAAACTGCATGAAAGAAAACAAAAAAAAACAAAAACCTTTACCTCAAGCATTTTACCAAACTGTTGTGGTTGTTGTTGACAGCGCATCGCAAATGTTCCTTTCATGTTTCTGCCTGAGATAAATGTTCTACTATCAATTGCTTCATTGCTGTGAAGATTACTTTCAGCAGTTAATCGTTCGAGGAGCAATAAATATTTTCTAATTGTTTTCTGTCGTTATACATGTAGTCGAACACTACTGACAGAATCTACTGCTTGCGAGGTAAATAACAACACAAATCCTTGTACTAGGTTGGCTCACTGTGTAGATGTAATGTGAATGCACCGGTATCGCGGAGGTCACGGGTTCGAATCCCGTTGAAGCCCTGATTTTTTTCAGGCTTCTTCTTTCCAATTGCTTAAATTGGAAAATTAACTGCGATGATCATTCTTCACTTTGTGTAGATGTAGTTATCAGCCTGTTTGGTTGTAGTATTTCCGATATTTTTGTACCAAATTTGAACCCACTAGCTGAATGTAAGCACCGAGCCCCAGCTCCTCATGTCCTGTGCTCCATGCTCGCACCTACTGCACTTGCTGTTTCCCTCACATCCTATCTTTGTTTTGAAAAATAGAGAAGTTGTGAACAGTCTAAGAACACCTTACCCTTTCGAGCATGACATCTCCTATACAAACAATAACCTCCTCAGATTCTTCTCGCCTCTTCATCATGCTTTTCATTAATGAGACTGAAAAATAGAGATTAGCCATGCAATAAGTTCTTGTATGCTATTACATAACATTAAAACGCATTTAAAAGACAACTCTATCGGGACATGAATTAAAAGTTTACTAATCTGTAGCTCATAGTGAAGAGTAATTGTTTTTTCTGACTTTCCATGACCACGAGGAGAGGTAAAAAAAGCGCAAGTTATATTACAGTAGAAGTCCTCATACAGACCATTTTCGTATTCCCGGTATTGGACTGGAACTAGCGTGCAACTGAGGCTAATGCGGGGAGTCTTTTCAAATGCAAATGACAATCATCTCTTTTTGATGATATTCCCCCGCATGAGCCTCCATTACAGGCTAGTTCCAGTCCATTACCGAGAATACAAAAATGGCCTATTCAGACACCTCTGGAGAGGTTTGACTGTATTTGAAAGGCAGATCAGTGTTGCTTAAAAACAAAACACAACTAGCCCAATAATCTCAAGTTAATTCTGCTTACTGATCGCAAGATATTTCTACAAGGTCAGTACTGGGCTGTAGAAAGTACTTCAAGACAGCATCAGCTAGAACCTTAATTTGGGATTGTGTAAGGACTGGACACTATCTTGGCACTTTGCTGCATAATTGGTGAAACCAGTTTTTAAATCATGACTTCAGTACCTGAACTTGAACACAAAATGCTCGTTGATCTCCGAGATTAACATAATTAAGTGAATTCAATTTGTGAAGGGAAAGAAAATTGTAGTTAGTTTTTGGCAAGTTTTGCAACAACACAACACCAGAATTTGAAAATGTCCGAAACCCCCACTTATACAAATGTACCTTCCGTCAATTTATATCCTAATTGTTAACAAAACTGGAGCATTGCTTTTTCGTTTCTGTAAATTAAATGTCTCTTGGGTTTTGAATTTTCAGTCATTCTCATGATAGTGCCCAATTAAGTAAGAAATTCCAGGTGCACTGCATAAGAGAGTTGTCAATGGTTACATCAATAGACCCACTAACCAAATGGCTTAGCTTACTTACCATGAATTTTAATTAGTGCATCCAAGTTTGGAAAAAGTTGATTGATGTATTGTCTGGACATGACATTCATTTTCATCATTGGTCTGTAGAACACCTGGAAAAAAAAGTGAACCAACATCACTAAATAGAATCATTGTTAAAGGCACATCATTACAAGTGTAGCCCAGTCCATCTTTGAAGATGTGAATTAAATTAATGGCAACACTCTCCTAAAGACATCGAGTGCCCAGACATTCGTAGCTTTTTCACTAACAATTATTTCAAGGCAAGTATCCTTAAGAACAAGACAGTCAGTTCGCACTAACCTAGACCTAATCAAATCACATGTAAACAATCATGTCCCATAATTATATTGGTTACTTGGTTAAATGGTCATTATGTACGCACAAATATGCAGGAGGCACTTAACTCAAAGTCTTCTTACCTTGTTCAATACTTTTAAATTTCTAACATGTGTTCTCTCAGTATGGATAAGCTCTGAAAAAGAAAACGATATACAGTTAATTACTGATCCCAATGGAAACAGCTGGTTTTGCTCTCCCGAGAATCTCGATGTTTCCCTCTACTTCGTCTCTGGAAACATTGAGATTCAAGGGAAAACAAAACTAACTGTTTTCCCAGGGACGAGTAACTAAGTGTTTTGCTATATAACTGGAGTTTAGCGTAAAGTAATAAGGCTAGAAGAAGTCAAAGCAACCTCTGATTAGTGGGAGAGTGGGTAATAATTGCTTAATTGTTACCCGGTGGGCGACATTTAAATTTACCCAGTCATGAGTCGTGAGTTAAAATTCGCAACATTTTCTGAAATGTGTTCAGACAAATATATAGAAAACTAAAATGTATCCTGAATACAACGTTTTATCCACCACTACTTCTGAAAACGAATTTGACAAAAGTCATTTGAAATTGAATTCCTTGAAATTTCCCCACACACTTTAAATTGCGTGCTACACTTTGTTGCTGTAGGAAGAAATGTGGTCTGGACAATTACCGTGAATGAATTCTTGTCGTTTTATTTCTTTGCCCTTAAGTCTTTTTAGAACCTGCAAAATATAGTGAACAAAAAGAGTTAAACACGATAAAAGTTCACATATGCCACCTTAACAGCTTGAACATAAAAGCTTTGAATCTGCGAGGTATGCCTCAGCCAAAATAAATTGAAGCAGAGTTCTTGTCCAGATAAATGTCTTCAGAATCTAGTTTGAAACTGGCCAGGTTTTTATTTATTACACAAAAACTGTTATGGGGAAGGTAAATTATTTTCTTTAATAAAATAAGACAGGATTTTCCTGTAGAGAAATGTACAAATGTCTTCAATGAGCAATGTAAAGCCATAGCTGCTACGCGTAGCTACAGTGTATGTGTTGCCCAAGTTACCTTCTTGTCTACAACTTGTTGCCATGGCGGTGGTTGAGCATCTACTTCCATGTCGGAGTCCTAACGTTTTGAAGAAAATACACAACAGAAGTAAATCAAGGGGTAGTGTACATAACAGCATTATGAAAGCAACACTTGAGATAGTAGAACTGATTAAACCATGCCCATTTTGTAAATTAATTTGCTCTTAAATGCAAAACTCACATCTCAAACAAAAATTCCATAGACTTTCATTAAGGATGACCTTAACTTTCAGGAAATTGATTTTAAGAGGACTAAAGAAAATTTGTTTAACTAGTCTCCTAGGGTCCAAATACTGTACAATATTTGTACTCGTGTTGCGTTAAATAAACTTTATAAATACACCTTATTCGATGGTTTGACATAACATGTGCGGATATTTTGTGAGCTGTGTAGTACATGTATTTTTCCAACTTCGAAGGAGACCGGAAAAAATACAAGCATGTTTGTGCCTATTGTATGATAAACCATCAAGTATGGGATTTATTATTTTACTACGATGTCATTTTCTTGTATTTCAAATTCTAGTTTTTGCATATATCCTGCCTCTGAAATTCATACCAATTGCGTAAGGTGCGTGGGAATGACAAAAACGAAATAAGGCTCTACAGTGCAATATGAGCTCATATTTTGTGCATTCCCTTGACCACATATGGTAAAATGACGTACAATAGTGGAATAATAATACTGCACACATTATGCAAGTGATTGTTTACACCCTCTGAAATGTTCCCTAGTTAGCTGCTGCTGGGTGATGTTTGTCAAAAATAATCATTCAAATTTTACAAAGTGTGGAAAGTCCCTAATTCCAGATGTAAGGAAGAGATGGGTTGTTTACCATTTATGCAAAGTACCAGAAATTTTTTAACTCGATTCGACCGACGCGAATATTTTCGTAATAAACGGGACGTCTTGAAAGGTAGTCCAAAATTTCCAACCGAAATATCCTTGTGAAAAATGTGCTTACCATTTGCAATTCTTCACCGCCGTCTTGGAAATATGATCAGGTCGCATTCGGCCTAGTCTCTTTGGTAAATTGTTTTTCTTTTCTTTTTCTTTTTTTTTTTTCAGTAAATGGTACATGTGAATGGGTTACCACCAGGCATTTTTGCTTCCCATTTGCACAAACCATTTCAATACGAACCGGTTTCTCCTTGTAAATGGTAAACAACCACAATTTCTCTTTAACAGTTCCTTATTCTCTACTTTCATATACAATGTAACAACAAATGGTATGAATCATAACTCACCGGTTCTTCTTCTGGTGGCAGAAAAGAAGGAGATCGTGAGCGAGCACGTCTCCCTGGAAGTAAATAAGAAATGTTAGACATGATAACNCTAATTGTTAATTAGTCATAAAACAGGTTAGAGCAGTTTTCAATTGAGTGTCATAAAACCAAAACCAAACTAATCACTCCGGCCAAGCATAAAGGACACAGACAATACAGTGAACCAATCAAAACTTGAAGCCAATCATGCAGCATAGTTGATGCAAAACCAATTACTTTTTAACACTCAAATGAAAACCACTCTAAACCTAAGAGAAAAACCTTGTTAAATACTTACGGGTGTCTTCATACTCTCCGATCTCCCAACAACATGTTTTTGTAAGTGTGGTTTATCAAGAGACAGTTCACTAGCGCTGTTGACAATGATAAAATTCAGAGCAAGCAATGCTATTAGCAATTACATTACATCATCAACCTTGTACATGCCACTATTTATAAAAGGTCCCCAGAGACCTTTTCATAAGCTCTTCTTTGACAAGTTGTCCATTCAAAAAATTGCTGACCACCATTTTCTTCAGCTCCCCAGATGTCAAGCCATACATCATGAAATACTACATTTAGTTCTTAAGATATGCAGAGTGCTTTAAATCCCATGTTACAAATACTCACACTTGACTTTCATGTACAAAATTCTGGTACATTAAAGGCAAGAATGGACACAGAGCCAAAGTTACTTTCTGTGTTATTTTGCTGCTCAATGATAAAAACTTGGTTTTCGTTTTGTGTCATTTGTCTATCTCGGAAGACTTGTTGTTTCCTGAAGGTGAAATTTTGAGGACTAAAACTATGCATGACACAGCAGGTGTTGGTTTACCTTTTCGTTTTTGACATTCCATCCTGAAAGCCAGGGGAAAATGAAACATGTTATTAATAACCTTGAATAGTAAAATTTAATTTCCACAGATAATCGTGGAAAATGGAGTACAGACAACTTACAGTTTAAGGAAGTGTATGCATCCATATCCACCTCAAGGAAGATAATGGAAACTACAAACAGGAGCGGAGTTTCTAAAGCCAACATTTTTAAAGAACCATGGTTGACACAGACATCACACCTTCTTTCAACGGACTATTTAATGACTTTTAAATGGCAATGCAGCATTATTCAAGGGCTAGTTTTCCTCATGATTACATGTTAAACTTGTTCAAGAGGAGTGAAGCAAAAGACGGAATACCCCAGATCACACTGAAGACAAGATTACTTAGACTGCTAGGTGCTTGACAAAATAACTTAACTCCTGTACCATCAGAATCAACTTTTAATACTTCAAATGATTTTTTCCCTTGACCTGCATTTTGTATGTGTATACCCATGGAAACTTGTCAATATTGTAATTGAATACACTGTAGTCTCAAAAATCCATGGCTTGTCAACAAAATTCAAGGACTACTAATAAATGCTGATATACTTTTCATGGGAAAACCTAAACGCTTCATTTTTCAAGAACTTTTCAAGGCTTGTATGAGCCATGAACCATGGTTGGCATAGACCATGGCATAAAACCATGAACCATGAATCATGGTTGGCATAGTTGCACTGTAAAAATTATTTCATTCTACTGAACAGTGGAATTTTAACCACTTGACAATATTCTCAACTCCCCCAAACAGACTAATCATAAGTTACATGTAGGCATAATCATGTCTGATTCCAAAAGATGCCACAAACACACACACAAACATTATACTTGAGGCCAAGGTCAATGTTACAATGTCATAGATCTAGTAAAACTTACATCACCAGAGCTTAAAAATCCTTCCCTGAAAGTCAAAGAAAACAATCAAATTGTTGACTGATCAATCATCATGAGATGTATAAACAAACATTACTCTAAATGAATCTCTGATTCAACCCTGAGCCCCCTCCCCCCACCCCAAAAACAATGATTAAATAAGAAAAAAATCCACAGTGTGAAATATTTGCAGAAATCATTGTGGTGTCTAATCAGTGTAGAGTTCTTACTTGCATGAACAATTCAAAATAAAGCAAAATTAGCTATCAGAGATACAAAAACCGCTGTTGAGCTTTGTCATTTAACTACAAGTCACTTTACTCAGCAACATAGCGACAGTGAGACAATCAGAAACTGATTAAAGTGGCTTGCTACCTGTCAGGTGCCCTGTCATCCCCAGGTATTCTGAATCAAACAAAGGCGAAACAAAATACTTCTGTCATTAACAGAACCTAACAGAATGGGCATAGACTTAAACAACAATGACCTATGCACACTAATTATGGCAATCTAGCTAGACTGGCAGCACAGAGGGGTGGCACTATGGTGAGAGTGACTGCCTGCCAGCAATGCTGTCAAGATTCAAATCCTGGACTTAACAAATAAATAAAAATAAAAACGTAAATAAATAAATAATACATAAACATACAAAGCATAATTATATTCAGACTGAGTTTGCTGTTAGCTTTCATATATTTTCCTATAATTTTTCTCGCAGTTGTCCAGTTTTCCTTTCACTTTCTCCTCCAAAACCTTCAAACCAACAATCAAAATTCCATTCCAATCTGGTGTGTCTTCCTGATTAATAAGTCTTGCTGGTAACAGCTGGACACAATCATTTATTAGGGTTTTTGAGTTATTTTTTTTTACAAAAAAATACCTCTCAGTCGGCGCGTCGAGTATGTTACGGGTCAATGGGTGAGCGAGTGAGTGAGTGAGAGATGTATGTATGTCACACCAATCAGATTGGATCTACTATAAACAGCCAATCAAATTTCTTGTTGTAAAGGTAAATGGTATGTGAGAAGATTTGATCCCGATAGAGTTCAGAACGGCCATATTTATTCTCCTATAAAAGACGAGGAAGTATTCATATATTGGGTTTACTTCGACATTTCCTGTGGGTTAGGCTGAGGATTTTAGTTATGAACGAGATGAGCCTTGAGGTTTGAAACAGTTCGTGAGTTANACCGATGTAACATCGCAACCAAAGAAAAAATGTCAAATTAACCAAATCATTACTGTACCATGAATGCTTCATGAATGCTCCGACACTTCACACAAAAAAAAATAACTCTTGCACGCCTTGCGTGCCTATGTTTACTGTTACTTGCTGTTTATAGTTGATAACAAATAGCTCATTTCTATTACCTGTTGTCTCTTCCACCTGAAATCTGTAAAACAAAATTCAATCAGTATAGCACGTTTTAAATGGTAATTAGACTTGGAGAAAAACATCCATTGCAATTCTAATATATAGATTCAGGCCAGCCTAAAAGCGCAGTTCCTGGGCCTCGTTGTTCAAAGTCCAATTAAGCTAACCCAGAAAAAGGTAGAATTTTGATTTGAGTTTTGTAACTTTGTGGTGAGCTTTTCTCTATATTGTTTGGCCTTCTGTTTTGATTTTTAATAATCACCACATACAAAAAACAAAACAGCAAAAAACATTTGTATAGAAGAAAAAGTTATAATTCGGTTAACTTTTAATCCTGGGTTAGCATTAAGCGGCTTACGAACAATCCTGCCCTGTTTGCAACAAGTTAACCTAATATGAGCTCGCGATCCAATCGATAACCAGCACTCGGTCAGCGGTCAACTTCAAAAAAACACGTGAACTTGAGGAGCTGTAAACTTGAACCTGCGATATGGTCATGTGATACTGGTCAGTGGATACCTTGTTTTGACAGGTGTCAATTGATCATAACACGAATGTCCAGTATCAAGGAAGTACACAGTAAACCAAGGCTACATGTCTCTGTCAACCTATTATTTGAAGTATGGCCACCATGTTGGGCAACTCTGTCGTCGTCGTCGTCGTCGTGTGTACGCGCCCACGAGCAATACTGCTAGCCATTATAACCATGAGAAAATCAACTCATGGGTTTCCTTTTCTTTCCTCTATGAGTATGGGGCTCCACTTGGCAGCCCTTTGGGCCGCCGGAGCTCCGCTATAAATTAAAATATACTCCAACTCTCTAGCATGTTTCTTGAAAGAGGATGAAACACTGAAGTTAAGATTTCTCATTTCCTCAGTTCCTAAGTTGCAATAATTATACAAACAATACTATCTGCACTGCAGTATGCTTTTTGAAGAGCAATTGACAAACGCCAGATAACAATAACCATTGCTTCTTTTGAGAATTAAAAGAAATGCTTTCATACATATATTATACTATCTTGTTAACAAGTAAGTTACAGGGTTGTACCTGATGGAAACTCCTACTGAGGCATTTGAAGAAGAAGAAGAAATTTCAAAGAAGAAATTTCAAATCTACTTACTTTTTCAATGCATATAGGATCTCGAAATAAAAAATAATTTCAAAATTTACAGCAAACAAGTGCCTCGGTTCGCCTGTAACTAGCTATGGCCCTGACTTACCAAATCTTCATCAAAAGAACCACTCTTTTTCTTGTTATAGTGAACTAAAAGAAATAATTATTATGAGAGATTAGTCTGGACTGGCCATCACAAAGATCTCTACAATGCCAAAAACTGAACAGAAGTTCCCACTGTCCATCCAGGTCAATGATTATTTCTCTTCCCCAACTTGACTAGTCGATGTAAACAACCTTCGATAGCCCAGGCATTAAATTAAAATTTACCTTAACTAACAAGTAGCTTCTTAGAATGCCACTGAATATTCCATGGCCTCATATGTATAACAGTACTATGCTTATGTAAAGTCTCCCTCTTGAACATAGAAATCAGTTCTAATTTTCCATAAACATCTAAGAATAGCTAATCAATACCTGTTGTACTGCCATTGTCTGACTCATTTTCATCATCATTTTCATAGTTTTTTGTCCCATCTAAGAAGACGCCAAATAAAGAGCAGAAAAGAATCCAGGTTACACATGTATGCCTCACAAGACATCACAACCACAATTTTTAACTTGTGACTTTCATGTTCATAGCTATACCCAGTGTTTCTCAGTCCAATTTTCACGTAAGAGTCAATTTAAACTCATCACAAATAGATGAGCTTGGGAACTGGTGCCTTAAAGGTTAGCGGGGTGCCAAAGCCATAAGCCACTAGGAGGTATCCATAGCAACCCTGGAAAGCAGGAACCACCCAATGAGCGTCCGCTAACCAGCACCGTCACACTGAAAGAAATTCAGTGGAATCTACTTACTTGGAGAATACTTACCCTGACAAAGAACAAAACGGGAGGGAGGAGAGGGTGCAAGAATCCGCAATGATTCGCGAGCAAAGCAGTGAAACTGATCCGCAACAATCAGCAGAATACACTACAACAATTATGCAATTAACCATAAACCCCTGCAAAACCCCTGAAGGCCGCCCCACAGGTCACGTACTCCCAAACGCAGAAACTGCTGGCTGCATAAGCTCATATTTAACTTGCCTAAATGATATTAGCTGGATGGGCATGCTAGCTGGCTGCGTTAGCTCAAGTTTAAATGTGGCTAAGTATCATTTAGGCAAGGTTATCTATTTGTGATGAGTTTAACCTTGCCTAAATGATATTTAGCCACATGTAAAAATATCCACTGTCAATCCAACCTCCCACGTTGACATTAAGTAATGACCTTATAATCACTTCTCACAACAGAACTACATCTACTTCTTTTGCTTTTCCAAAACACACAAGACAATAAAATATGACATTCATTTCTTATGACAATGGACTGTGTTATATGCTACTCACATTGAGATGAAGCAGGCTGACTAACTTTTCTACTATAATTTGCAAATGACGGTGATCTGCCAGCTTGATTATTTGTTTTCTAAAACAAACAAACACACAAGGTCAGAGTTCACAGAAACAGTGGAATCCCAAAAATTGGGTAGTTTGAGTTTTGTGGGTAAAATTACAGCATTCAACTGAGGGGGGTGGGGAAGGACTTTTTGTTTAAGTTATCAGGAAGTTTAAAAAATTGAGGATTTTACTGTACCTATCATTCTTGTATTGGCATTATCGGACAATCTAGTCCATAATTTTAGCGTGTGTTAGTAATTGTACATTTCCTTAAACATTTTCTGAGATGGTTTTGGAGTCCTATCATTCAGCAAGTATGTAATAAGCAAGTACAACGTTGTGTGTATTTCATGAAATGGAATCAAGAAACAAGTCTTCATCTATTACACTCACTCTTTTCTTCTTTGTTCCCGGACATTCTTCAATTGCCTCAAAGCAAGCCCCTTTGTGTACATTGTATTCACACGCTAAAACACACAAAAAAAGACAGAGACAATGAAAATGCTATTGAAGGTTTGGACCCACGCTTTGCAGGCCAATTATAACCTTTGTCAACTCCCTCCTGAATTCAAAGATAAACATTTTCTGAGCCTATTGGTTTATCAGAACAAGTACAAGTTCAATAAATAGAGGTTATGCATGGCAGCCATGTTGCATGGCAGGAACAATAGATTCCTTTTTGCTATGGGAAAAACATTTTCTTTCCCATGCAAAACATTTTCATTGTTCCTGCCATACAACATGGCTGCCATGCTAAACCTCTATCGATGGGATATTGATACTAGCTACATGTAGTGCAGTGGATGTTTTTACTCCCTGCCTCTCATTGTCATGGGCTGTTCAGCAATTCATCTGAGTGTTTACTGTGTTAAGAGTACAGTGCCACAGTATCACCAGCTTTACCTGGTTGCCTGTGGTTTTCCTGACTCCCATTTACCCACTCTGGACAACATGCTGCTCTCCAGCAAATGTAGCCATTTCCTCCTGTTAACCAGTACATATAAAGTCTAGGAAAGTTCTCTGACTATGCATGTTTGAACATTAAAAAAGGTTTAGTAGACGTACTTGAACATTGATAGCCTTGATCTCCAATACCCCACAGTAGACCACTACAGTGATTGCAGAACGTCATACTTGTGTAATGTGTACTAACAAAATGGTGTCCCTTACTCTGCAAAAAAAAAAAACAAAACAAAACAAAAAAACAAGTAAACATTGACCATTTGTCAGAGGCAAAATGAGCCTTCTTTCACAACTTTTTATCAAAATTATAACAGCTTTTAAGATGTTTTGAGAAAATGCAGCAGTGCTGTTGTTTAGTTTTGCCCTCACAATGACAAGCAACAGTAATTTGGTTCTACTCACTTTCACCAAACCTCTTGACCTCACCAATTTCATTTTTTGCTATCATTAATGACATTTCTGAAGTTTCTTAATAATGCAAATAAACTTACAGTGTCTACAGAAAGAGCGCAAAAGTTAATGTCTGAATGAATGAAAAGGTGAGAGATGTCAGACTTTGCCCTTAATCTACAATCCATATATTCAATAAGTGTGATTTACTGTACACGTGCACAGCAAGGATGTTGCTCTTAATATAAACTCGGCAAGCTCTAGCTACACGTGATAAGATGATAATTCTCAAACACAACTTAAAAAAATACATTATTTTTTTTTAGCAAAATGTATAGGGGAGTTTCTACCTTTTTGCTTGCTTTAATTTTAAACAGTGGCTTATTCTCTTTTCGTGTGAAGCTCGAGTATCTCTCCAGGATATTTGCATTGGTCCCTTGTTGCTAAAAGAAATAAAACCACTCAAAATTAACTCCCCCAAAAGATGTCAATACTTGGAAGATTGAATTCAGCCCAGTGCAGTAAACTTTGCAGTCTACAGACAACCGCTGAATGTGTTAGTGGTGCATGAATAACTGACAGACGCATGTCTACAATATTCAAATTAAGAACAGAGTTCAAATCTGAAAGCTACCTATGAAAAATCAATTGTATGTTCAACTTTCAACTTACCTTAACAGTAATTCCAACTTGTTTCAAAAAAGTAGTAAGGGCAGATGCCATAGCAGAGCTGGTTTAAAAAAAAAAAACATTATACATGTAGTTCAGTGACTTTCTTAGGAATAATAACAGTCAGTACACGGGCTTCCAAGTAAGCCAGGTATCTCCTACACTGGAAATTCGCACATTAAATTTCCACACGTTACTTGCAGGCAAAGAAAGGAAAGTCCTGTGACATATAGCCCAGGATGAATAGTCTTTTCGGTTACAAGGCTTCATGTCAGTTTTGGATGTCTTTGTTTCAGCGATGCCCTTACTCGCTTTCATCTTTGGGCGATAAATGAAACTCACCAAGTCGCCGAGCCAAGTAGCCTCTTTTTTCAGTATCAAATTGACAAAAAAATCATTCACACACTAACTTTCCCTGAATTTAACCACTCCCAAGTGACCTATAGGCACCATCCCATCCAATAGTCTGCCATGGGCATCAACTTGAAAGTTTATTACTTACTTTCTGTCAATCTGAGAAGCATCTACAGCAGTATTCGCATCCAATTCAGCCCTAGAAAATAAATAAAAATAACAGGTTGTTATAGGAGATTCTGGATAATACAAAATTTCATGACCTTATATTCCTTCCCCATTAAAAGGATATGTTGGTGTCAATCTGTAAAAACCTAAAAACAATAAAACTGAACTTACAAGACTCCCTCTAAGTGTGGCATCAAAGTTTGTTCCACTACTTGAAGTTCCTTTCCTTTATCCATGTTGTCATCTGAAAGTCCAAATAATGAAATCATTAATGTTCAATGGGCCACCTTTACATGCAACATTTATATCATTCTGTAAATAAATGGAAGCAAAGAATATAATTGCACTTGGCACCTTCTAGCTGGTGATCGCCAAATAAACTCCCAAGACCAAGGGCCCGTTTATTCCTGAAGTCTGCTAACAGTTCTTTAATTTCTTCTCCTGCAAGATCCCTATTAAATAATGAAGACAAACAGTTTAGTGGAGAAACTAATCAATGTGCAATCAAATAACACTAACCTTACCTTCAAAATGCCTGATACTCATGCTAAAATTACACTGTAGAGTCATACATGCCTTTTTGCCCCACCACCCTCCCTGCCAACCCCACACTACAAACATATGCATGTATGTATATGTATAGGTAAAGGTAAAGTTTGAAAATGAGCCAAGAGGCCCATCAGGCTGGATTTATCCCAGTTTCTGTAGCATGAAGCGATTAGGAATATTTCTACTTCCCCCTGGATGGGACGGTAGTCTATCAAATGTATATGCATAGGTGTACTTTACAAACAATACAGTCATCCAATACAGTCAAACCTCTCAACCGACTACCTGGGGTAGACTTTACTGCTGTTGCAGGACTTAGAAAAGTGTATGCAATGGCAAATGTTTCAAGGGATGACCAAACCAGGCTGCTTTACTAAGGTGGTGATTATAGAGACATGGCTGTCATTGACAGTTTGATGGTACTGTATATCTCAGCTACAAAACAAAAATCAAAGAAATTCTCATCTTTGAAAACAATGATTGTACCTTGCTTGTTGAAACAAGATTTTTAGATTATCTTCAGACCCTAAGCAACTCTCTGCAAGAAAGAAATCAAATTACATACTAACTTAACTTTAAAATAATGGAAACAAATTACAAAAGAAATGGATTCTGAAAATGACATGCAAGTCCCAAGAATGAACTTTACAGGTACTCCATCAAAGACATTTACAATACTTACCAATGGGCTCTACAATTGTTTCTTTATCCATATTGATAACTTTCAGAGGCTAAAATGAAACACAGCAAATAAATTGTATTACTTCAGGGCTCAAAAAAGTGTCGTCCAGTCATCCAGGACAAGTAGATTTTCCCTCTGGGTAAGTAACTTTTCATTCTCACTTATCCAATGGGCAAGGGATCAGGTCTGTCAAATATATCATTAACCCAGCAAACTAAGACTTGCCCAGGACAAGCAAAATTTGAGAGCTACATGTACTTGTCCCAAGGGCAAGCTGGAATTCAATTTTTTTTCAAGCCCAGTGCTTGTTACATACTGGTCACATTACTGAGCTGTCATATACAGAAAAAGCAGGGTGATTTGGGATAACGTACCAACAGGCTTATCTCAACATCTGCCCACCCTTAATACTTTTCCATTACAAACAGCATTGGCAATCACAATGTAATACATACCGCCCGCTCAGCCAGAAATGTAGAGTAGATCTCATACGACCACTTCTTCATTTCTTTTATTGTTCCTTCTCTGTAGGTATCTGTTACCATCCAAAAGAACTACAGAAATGATGTGATGCAGTTAAAATAATGTTTTTCTTGAGGCTTATTGCAAACATAAGCCATAGTCAAAACTTAAACATTCCTATGAAACTAAACAAAAACAACAATAATAATTTATTACAGATCACCTACCAAACTACTTGGATCACTGTTTGATATAAGGTAATGGAGGAACACTGCCAGATGAGCTAGAATTGAAACAAAAAAGCAATATAAAATTATATCAGCTGCACAACACAGCTTTCCCAGATATAAAACTTTCTAAACTTTTGCTAAACACATTTTGAAAACTAGTAAAAATGCTAAGAACGAAACAAAAGAAAATGTTTATCTCAATATTAGTTGATGTCTTTTACCTGGCTTATTCTTAAGAATTTCTAAATCATTAAATGGACCATGGTCATCAATCTGTTGATTAAAAAAAAGATGAGCCAAGATTTAAAATCAAGACTTTTGTAGCCTACAGTATAAAATAATTCTTGCCCCTTGATGGCTACAAGTAGGGTCATGTTGGGGCCCATTAATTTTTGGCCCACTGACCTAGTGACATTCAAATTATTTGTGACAAGTCTTTGTGTAGTATTCTGAGACAAGGCACCTGACAATGACATCTCGCAAGATACTGGTGTCACACCGCAGTGAACCAGAGACACCTCATCCACTGGGAATAACAACAGTTCTTATTTAGCTACCTCTGTGAGCAAGTAAGATGAAACGGATCCTGTGTCATGATTGGCTACCCGAGCAGGCAAGATGGCACTATCTTGCCCACTCAGGATTACCCGCTGTGTCCCAGAAGAAAATAGTGTTCATTTTCCATATAATAAATCCTTTATCGACCAAGCTTGTTCAGACAAGATGGCTGGATATTGGCCTCATTCTCTTTTGTGTGTTTATGGACCGAGACAGTGAACTTGGCCAATATCCAGCCATCCTGACCTCATGCTTGGTCCTGCCTATAACCCATATATTCTGCCTGCTTCATGCTACAGAAATTGAAGTGGGATCTGATAAATTTGGCATGTGTCCATCAGTGCCTACCAGTGCCTCTGCATGAATCTTGTTTCTATAGTATGTAATTACTAAGAGTGGCAATACTCCCCAAAAATGGGATGGTTATCCCTCAAAGCTTTACTCTATAAAAATGCACACTTAGCCCAAAGAAAACTTAGCATTCAAGATTTTTTTGCAATGCTAATAAAGCAGTGTATACCCTGGTAGTAAGATACAGCAGAAGAACATGTACATCATTTTGCCATGTAACCCACACTTGCGTGCACCCTTCCCTTTTGGCACAACCACAAATTAATTAACAATTATACGCAAAAAATCCCACATGTATATTCACTTCACCTTCTCGTCATCTGAAGCAAACTCTTCATCTTCCATAGATATGATTGATGCATGTGACTGATTGTGTTGCATGACACTCTGCTTGGTATTATCTGTGGAGTCAGCCTGTGATTCATCATCACCATCAGCATAGATATCCGCAGTGTCACTCCGACTTCTCTTCTCCATGGGTTCTGATAGCGTTGGTGTGGCTGGTGGAGAGCCACTGCTGCTGCTGCTTTTTGCATCATCAAGTTGTATGGCTTTGTTTTCTTGACTAGTTGGATTCCAAGCCCTTGGAAGGGATGAGGTCTAAACAGAAAAAAGAGCCAGAGAATGATGCCACAAATGAAAGAACAGGTTATCATGCTAATTTTACTCGCTGCGTTATGTGAAAAAAACAAAAACAAACAAATCACTTGGGTTCTTTGTTTCTATCAACAAATGAAAACAAGGTCAATTAGACAAGGAAATCAATATAGCCAGAAGTTCCATCCATACGTGTATGTGACCTGTAGGGCCATCACAGTGGTCACTTGCTCATCGCGTGATGTTTATTGCGTTTGCTTTGTTCTTCAAGTTGATCTTTGCAGATCACTGGCCCCTGTTTGTTCAGTGAATCTTTGTACAGCATTGTCATGTCTTGTGCAAGACTAGATATCACAGTATCTGAGAGCTCATCTGATATCACTGACGACAATTACTATTGTTCAAGCCCTGTCCTTGCGTGTTATCAACTACAAAGAAAAGATCACCTTACCACCAGATTTTTGCGAGTTTTAGCAGGTGATCCCACAAAGCCATGCATCCGTGGCATTCCAGATGCGTCATCAAAGCTCTTTTTCTTGCCACTACCATTATCTCTAACAGACAGAACTTTATCAGAGGAGTTGCCATTTACAGCAGGACGGAAGAAAGCATCTGGGCTGGAGTGCTGTCTAACATGTAGTGGACCATCAGGCAGCTGTGTAATGTTCACAACAAGTCTGTTAGCATGTTAGCAAATACTGATGATTCACTCAGAAGCCAAGCACCTCTGCAGAAGTTGTAATTTCTCCCTGTTTTACACACCTTTGTGCTTAAAGGGCCCATTAACCGATTTATGTGCGCACTCACGCGTTGCTAAGGAGGTGAAATTTCACTTCCAGTTACTTACGTCAGCCTGAGCACAGAAAATAAAAATAACTCAATAACTTCCAAATTCACTCACATTCTAGATGTTTT